GTCTGTATAATGTCTTATAACATCCACGGCCTACCCCAGTTACCACTACTGTGCATGTGTGTCAAGGACAGAAAGGCAGATGTGGCAGTGGAAGGTGTCAAAGCAGTTTGGAGAGAAAAACAAAGTAAAGAACAAAGAAAAGAAAACAATCGATTATTAAATTAGTCATCGATTATTTTAACACTCGATTAGTCGTCGATTAATCAATTAATAGTGGCAGCCCTACTCGAGAACAACAGAAAAGTCTGCGACACCAACATTTTCTTCTAACCGGGTATCAGTAAAACCTGAAATGTAATTTTTAATAATTCAGTCCTAACTTCCATCATTTTCCAGACAGAAACCTGATCAGTGAGGTTCAAGTTAACTAGAGGTATGTGGCATTTTCAATAAACTGACCAGATTTTTTTAATTGATAAAGAAAAAATTGAGTAGATAATTGAGGGCCTGAGACATTTCAGAGCATGAGGATGTCCACTTTAAGTTAATAATAAAAAGCTTTTATCACAGTAAAATGTTCTTATCTTAGGCACAAGTATGGCAGCCTTTGAACAGGTGTCAGTGTAAAGAGCAGTTTGTCCTGACAAACAGTGACTGTTTGTTTTTATATCAGTTGTGTTGCAGCTGCTGAAGACATGTCACTAAATCTTTTTTTTTTTTTTTTGTACGACAATAGAATTTGGACAGGAAACCCTCAAATTTATTTTACATTTGTATTTCCTCAGTAAAATAAACATGGCATACTGTAAACATTTTCTAAAAAATAAAAATGATAAAACACTTTGATGCCATTACAGCTGATGYCCAGTCCTAACTCATCATATAATTCATTGATGATGACCATATACTTATTTCTTTTTTCATCCCAATCAAGTTAAAAGAAGATGGAGTAACAATGTTTGCTGTCGACTGAAATCCATTCCAAGAGACAAAATGAAGAGGAGGCTGCTGAGAGGATTCCTGTCGGAGGTTTCTGTCCGACTGCTGCTGCTGTTTGTCTTCATGTAAGTTTTTAAAACATACGTTGATGCTTTCAGCTCCATTCAGCCAAAAGACGCAGATGTGTTTTTGTCCTCTGCTCAGCGTGACGGAGCAGCTTCCTCCTTTCTACCGTGAGATCCAGGCTGAGGAGATGTGGTTGTATAAATTCCATCGTGTGGAGACGGACCACGTTCCCACCTCCCTTATGTTTGTAAGTGTGCACTTGTGACAGTTGGAAGTGGAAAACACTGTTTAGTTTGGTTTTGAAATCCTTCTTTAGTCAAGTTTAAAAAAATGATTCAGTTCGAAATGGTTTTCTCCAGTGGAGGTTTCCAGATATATTGATATGCTGTTCTAAAATGTGGGTACACACTCAATGTAAACAAAACAACTGACAGAATCTTTTGAAAAACAACACATAAAAGCTTAAGTCACAAGAACTTTTTGCAATTTACTTAATAAATCTGAGTTGTCTGACTTCTCAATTTCAAACGGCTCTTAGATACATCATTTGGCTGTTTTCATCTGTAAATAAACACAAGGTAGCCGGTCTTAAATGTTACTTTCAAATTCTTAAAGGGCCTATATTATGTGTTTCTCAGGCATATATTTAAATACTACACCATAATAAAGTATCTATGTCACCTTTAGTTGTTATTAAAATGCTGTTTTTATGTTTAAATAGAAAATAAACTTATCTTCTCATCACTTCCTCTTCTAAACGCCTTGAAATTGGCCTCTGTCACTTTAAGAACCTCCTTCCACTTCTGTCTCGCCCATTTCGGTGCGGTGGGGGTGGGGCTGCTATGATGCAGTTTACTTGGCATCTGAAAATACATTTCCTCAAAGGTATTTTTAATCTGAAAAGAGTGAGAACTAATGATGAGAGCTCAGCAGACAGTTTCACTTTCACTTTCACCCGAGAGCCTGCAGGAGTCATGGGCG